CGTCGAGGAGACGGATTCTGTCGGGAACCCGTGACGTTCGAGTGAGCTTACTTCAATCTACTTCATACATCCGCGGGTGGAGCCTCGGTTAGAGTTATCAGACGAGTCTCGAATTTCGCATCGGAATTACTCGGCAGCGACCACACTTCGAGACTGTCTAGAGATCTGGAGGCAAGGCCGTGAGCACGACGCGTCTTCCAGCGCGCCTCAACTCCTCCAGCATCAAGCATAACTCAATTCGTTATCTTTGGCAGGCAGAGGACAGCGTCTGGCGTCTGGGACTACATTTGGGATTCCTGCTTAAAGTCACTAATCCTCACTTATTTTCAAAGCTAGACCTTCGTCGCGGCTGTCCAGCCGGGGACTCGCGGTATTCTCCGGCCCCTGCAAGCTGCAAGTCCCTCCGCGACTGGGGTACGAAGTTATCCTAACGGTTCGTGCGGGCGGGTGGAAATCTCGGGTTGTGTACGGATTCGAGATATCCGAGGACGCGCCGCTGATGGAAAATGACTCCAATTTCCGTCACGGGAACGTTGAATCACCTCAGTAGGCCGTCATAAGTGAATCCAAGAGCTGGGGAAACTCGCTAGAATCCATCGATTCGAAACGGTTGAATGTAAGAACGACTTCAAAACGCCAAGAGGTTGAGTCGCATGGTATTCGATGTTCAGCTGAAGCTAGACTCATTGACATCTCGTGCAGCTGATCAGTGAGCATGATCGCGAACATCATTGAGCAGGGTTGGAGGCTCGGTATGACTAGCCATGCTCATGCTGCAACATGAGTCAGCAGAGGCGAATATCGGAATCCGTTATGACCCGTGAGTGGGGCTTCGGAAAGTTACGGGACGTAATTCTTAAGAAGGGCGGGCATTAATCGGGGGGTGAGACGCGTTTTCCCCTCCCTCGGTCAAGACTGACGACCACGGACCGCTAATCCTTTTTGCGGAGTCGGTTGAAGCAGTGTCAGGAACTCTGACTTCCGGTCCGTCGGAGTTTGTTCCCCGTGTCCCGTTCTCCGCGCTGCATCCAGAGAGACGGAATAGAATCTTCATAGTCTAGGAAAGTATCGTATGATTGTAGATCTGGAATCCGACCCAAAATAGGGTCGCAGAGCCCGCTCAAAAGGTCGTTGGGCTCCAAAAATTTTTCTGCAAGCCTTGCTTCGGGGTCTCCGGCCATTCCGCGCTGAAGTCGACGCTAAAAAGTCTCGCCTTGCGTTCTACCGCGCCGAAGTTCCGAATGGGAAAAGGGTGAAGATGAGCGGCACATGACAGCTCGATGCTGGACCGAAGCCCCCAACAATCAAGTCAACCCTCCAATTTGATTAGAGAACTCGCATAGAAAACTTTGGATCTGGCGACTTTTGCTTTTCGAGCTGTCATCCAGTCCCCCCGGAGTGAGTCACAGTGTTACTTCCGAAAGGCATACAGTTTCGAATCTCTGTCACGGGGTTGAGTGTGTCTCATGGGGGTCGCGGGGCAAAGTGATGCCTCTGAGGGGGTCCTGGGACGGAGAAGTTTGCAGATCACTGGTATAAAGAAAATGTCCGACGTCTGATAGAGTCTTCTATGGCTCAGCTTTTCGAATTCATGCGGACGCCGTTGTTTAGTATGACCCTTTCGAATACTTCGAGCACACCTGGGGTACCTGCTCAGTCTGCTTCCCCAATGAATACGCCTGTTTAAGCAAAAACTCTCTATAAATTTATTCCTACCCCTCTCTCCAAGTGGGGAAGGATATGAATCGTCCTCGGTGCCCTTCTACCTCATGACGTGTTTTCCGGGAAGTTTGTCATCGATGGAGTGTGGTCCATCAGAACAAGGGCTAAACAATGATGCTAGTACATAGTGGACTATGATCGAAAAAGGCTTCTCAAAAATTAGTTCCGCTTTGAAATTAAGCCACTCTCGAGACAGCACAGGGCTCGCGACGAAAGTAGATGCCGACTTCCGCATGCATCGGATCAGCTCCCGCCTCGGACGACTTTCTGCGGCCACTCTATCTACCCGTCTCCGCCTTGAACTCAGACGAGTGGAAGTCGACCCTTCACCGATTACATCTCTCATTAAAAGTTCTCGAGTAACTTATTGATTCTTGGCAATCGACCCCAAAGACTGGCTTGGGAATCTATCCTTGAACTTTCCGAGTGCGATTGGCGGGTCCGCACCAAGGGTTCGAGGTGAAACTCCATACGGTCATCTCCCTAGAATCGACCCTTTACCCGACAATTCCACACGCTCCGTCGCGTAGGCATCGATGATTCATTGAATATGCGCCCTTTGAAGCGACGAGCTTCTCAAAATACGGGATATAATATACAGGTGCATAACAAACATCTACATGCCCTATCGCCTGCACAGTTTGCCCCGTTGATGATAATGTAGATTTCCCTCCGTGACCTAGGATCAAGATGATGCTTTATGTAACAAGTCGTTCTTTCGAAGTTTAGAAAAACCAGATCTCCAGTGAAAGTACATTGAACAGAAGTCAAGGTCTCCCGTGGATGTTTCCCCATCGACGGAAACGGCGCAAGGCTATGCGAGTACCGTAGGTGGATCTCCGGGATGCGTCGGGGGTCTTCCTTGTCCACAGAAATTATAACAAGCCTCCGTCTGTAGCTCTCCGAGTGTTGAGAAGGAAAGTCACCGGAGCGTCTTCCGATGAAGAAAGCTCTTAGGGTGAATCCCAGTGCGATTCTGTCCGTTCTCTGTCGAGAATTCGACAGACGTCGGTCAGCTTCAAACATTGTATTATCATGACTCATCCGAGGACACACTTCCTAGGCAGAGTCGGCAGTATCGCTCTCGGATGAGTTTCCTGTTTCGAAAACCTTCCGCAAGAGTTTTCGAGACTTTTCTCAACCCAATAAATGACCCAGGTTGGCATCACCTTGACGCAAAGTCGCAGCAAGATAGCAAAGATGGCCGTCGCTAGCTTCCATCCTTTCGGAGGAGCTGTCAACTCCGACCGAAAGCCTCTCCGATCGCTCGACCGATGTGGCCCAGGAGCGATTCGAATCAACAAGCAGCCCTATAAGAACTTCGCACTCCAGGAGCTCCGCTGCCAGCGGCTCCCTCACAGCGGATAATGAAACCTTCTCGCTCGACTCGATTCAGGCAGCTCAATCAGCCGAAGACACATTCCAAGTCAATCAGCCATCTGGATCCTCCGGAAGCAAATCATATCTCAACCTCGATCGACCGTTCCGCTCCGGAAAAGTCTAGCTTAGCTTACCTACATTTGTTCAGACAGCCTAGCGAGCACACCCAATGCGATATCAGTTGGAATGAAGGGGGATCAATGCTCATGAATAATGCTTAAGCCAACTCGATGCTGCACATAAATACCTATTATAGGTGAAATAGTTGCCCGAAGCTAGGCGGGAGTAACGGAAACTCGAAGCTTCTCACGACGACGACGGGGATGACAACAAAAACCGAATGATATTTATTCCAACAGATTCTACAGGGCAAACTTCACTATCGAACGAAATTGCAAAAAGTAAGATCATTACACGACATGGAGGCGTTTTCCATGCTACGGGGATAAAAAAAGTACACTCGGCGAGGGAGAATGCTCTTATGTATATGAATATAAATTCTTGACTCTATGATCTCGCTCAACGATAAAAATCAAGCGCTTCAGCGTTAAAATCGTCGTGCATCATAAACATGAACTTTTGGTACAAAACTAAATTCTAAGAACAACCAGCAAATCGAGGAAAGGAACATACGCTGCATCCCGCTCACGGCATACTTAGATCCATTTCTCTCGTGTGCGAAAGACTCAGAGGAGTTTTCCTGATGGAAAGGGCGAAGTTTCCGGAACGAAGAGCGACAAAGGTCGATACCGAATCGAACAGAAATTTCTGACACTATATGTTTCTCGGAAAATTCTCAGCTCGCCAATAATCTCACTCCGCGGTTGCTCCGTTCCCTCTATCGTTGTAGATGGCAAAGTCTCTCTAACTTATGGCTCAAGCAAAATCCAGACGCTGCTCAATGTGTGCTTGCTTGCATATATTGGCACCAGGGACTTCAGACGAGAGGAATATTCGATACCAAACACCGCCAATCAACAATGGTACTCCCTCCAAGAAAGCTTCAGGAGTTCGCTTGACCTTTGAGAATACTCGTTCTATCGACTTTCTCTATGTACCTGAATCTGTCTCACTTCAGAGGTGCTACCGACTTCCGTAAGAAGCATGGAACGAGTTCTCGACATTCATGCATATTTCACCGCGCGTCTCGAAGGAAGAGTGCTTGAGTTTGCCTGCTCTCTTTTCTCCATGAGTCCTCACTCGGTGTATTTACAGATTTCAACTCAAGAGAGTCGGTTAGTTGCCTCTCATCCGCTCGTTTAAAACACTCTTATTTTCTCGATTTCGACAACATAGATTGTACTCGTTCCGATGACTCACTATCGCACCGTCTCGCATGAGCGAGATTCAGAATTTCTCCATGAGCCTCAATCGTAGATCCAATCATTATAAAACGTCGTTCGCGGTGCCGGCGCCCCCCTTTCCGAGGTCCGCCCGCCACGCACAGGACACACGACTCGTTCCGCCCCTCGTACGCGGAGAACGTTTTCGTTCTAGATGATTCCCCTGCTCCATCAACTTTGACTGAGAATTGGGTCGTAATAATAAATACTATCGGTAAAGATTTTCCGGGTCGATCCGAGGTGCCCCATCTCCCTCTGAGTCGGAGCTCTGATCAACGATGCTGATTTTGCGATTGTTCGCCGATCGTTTGAATGCCGGCGGCGAAATTTGGCCCCTCCGTGCGCCTGGGGTCTTCGAATGCTGCTACTGTTCCTTTATCCCCGGTCGATGCCCTTCCTCGGGATGGTGGCATGTACAATGAGTGCGTTGGCCGCCCTTAATTTAATCGCTCTCTGTTTCTTCTTCTTTCAAGACTCACCGATTGGGCTCCCGACCAATTTTCCCAAATCATTCATATTTCACTCTTCTGCTTTCGATTGAGCGAGTTGGGATCATCAACTCTTGCCGCTTTCGCCAGTCGCTGATGTCGAAAAGCTCGTAGAGTGGTTTCCGCTCAAAAGTAGGGTTCGTTCGTTGACTTCCCGTTCGCGATCTTTCGGTGTCGTCGACGACGCCGACGACGACCCTCCGTGCTGACTTCCTGAAGGGGGTCGGCTCGACTTGTTATTGCTCGCTGTCGCTTGCGGTGGGCTGGCCAGCTCCAAAGCCACCGATCTACTCAGCTCCGGAGATCTGCGGGGAAAAATCGATCAGTCCGACTCGGTGATTCCCAATCTGGGGTACTCTTGGTTCGGGGAGCGATGTTAGAAGGTCGGTCGCCCGTTAGGACGACAAAAATCAAAGATAAGGTAAAAGTTTCCAAAGCCCTCTCATGACGTCGTTTCGAGGGCTTCCCGCTGAGAACGGGATCGCGCTCACCTGATTTGAGCTCCGTGAGGACTGTATTCTTGCAACGGTATCGAACAGATCGACGAGTCCGAATTCCGAGCTAGAGGCGCTTGCGCGGCGTTGCTCCCTGGGCTTAAGCAAGGCGTGCCTATTGATGGGAATATATCTTAATCGAAGGAAAACTTTGTGGCCTAATACTTCGTAGCGAGACGGCACGTCGATGCAAACAGCCATCGGAACGAATATCTGCGGTACATACAATACACCGAGAATTTCAGCCCCCGTACTTGGGAGTACCCCACTCCGGACTGAATTGAAATCCTCGGACCACAGAACACAGATCGCACAGAACATAGATTCCCGAGAGTTTCGAGACCAATGTAGTCAGACGGATCGGCGGTGAGACGAATTGAGTTGGACGACCAATCTTACAATGAAAGACAGAACACAGAGCGGAAAGAGTTCTCGGCATGAGACAAAGAGGTCAGTAGCAGTCATTTCCAGTCACGAACATCGACAGATCGTACTCGAAGTCGATCAAAGGCATCGAGAGCAGCCAAGATTTTCAAACAAAATATTTTATAAATCGGCTAGATCTTCCAGAGTTATTCAATACTCCGATCGCGGCTTGAGCGAATTCGCGCGGCTTGGAATGGTGAAGAGGTTCTGTACGGACATGCTCGACGATTCCAACAGAGAGGACGCCATGCGTTTTGCTGCGAGACTGGGCACGGTCAGATTAATTTTACTGATACTGCTTCGCTTGCTGAGGTCGAGAACTCGTCTCCTGACTTTTGTTTGCTTGCCTGAACTCGGTAATTGCCCGCCTTGACTCGTGTTTCGTTGCGTTGTTGACACGGAATTACTCCCGTAGGTTGGCGAAACCCTTGCACTCGACGAAGCCGCCATCAATGGCGTGCTCTCTTTCGGCGTGTCAGACTTACCCGCCCCAGACGCAGGCACTGTCGTCGTAGCCAGTGACCCGCGTGCAGACACCTCGGCAGGACGGTGATTGCTGCTATTCACCGCATTTATGACGTTCGCCCATTCCGTCTCGAGAGTCGTTGCGTTCGAGCGGTTGGACTTGTCCAGCCGGGATGCCTTGTACGCGGCCGCATAAACATTTCTATGAACTCGCATGTAAAGCATGTCCGATATGGCCTCGACCGAGTAATCGGGACAGAAAGGCCGATCTGGTAGATGCGCGTAGTCACTCATCGGAGAAGCCAGTGAGAGCTGCGAGGTCTGGACAGCTTCTGTCGATGAAGAAAGATCGTATTATGCGCGCTTCCCGTCGAAGGGTCTTGGGGAGATTTCCTATCGGGGCCTCGTCCGCCTCCGGGCCCCGTGTAGATGAACGAAATGAACATGGAATCGAGGAAATCGAGGAATTCTTCCACACAACGCTTATTTCCGAGCGCATGATTTCGTCTTGTAATCAGCAAGCGACCGGTTTCAGGATTTTGAATCTCGAATTCGTCATTCGAGACACAGTCGGGAACATCGGCAACCGTTTAAATTCGGAGAACTCCAAGCCACAGATCTGCTCCTCAAACGATACCTGTTGCTGTAGCGGTGACCGCCGGAACGACGAAAATCGACGGAACTCCGAAATATGAGAAGGACCCGGCCTCGTACTGAAGAGTTTCATTTGCGCTCGTGTGATGCGTCACCCTGGCTCTGCCCTCAAGAAGCAGTACGAAATAGTCCGTTGCCTTTCCAGCTCGATAGATGAATTTGCGCGTATCGTCTCTAAGATCTTCTTGTTTGATGTGGATGAAGATGTTCTGAACCATCAAACGGCGAAGAACGTTTTCGGAAACATATTCCCTTCTGAATGGCTCGAGAGCTGTGGGAAAATATTGACGTCGCCTTACAAATGTATATACTGTATGCTCACTCCGAGCTACACATCCCTCCGCTGATATCATATGGAGAGGAGAAACTATGGGCTCCGGCTTCTCGGAACTAACCTGTAGACATGAACTGGAAAGTAGCGAGAGCTAGCGGAGCTGGTATCAGGCTTGTTACATTTGTTTTAGCAAAGTCAGTGAAATCCTGCTTGGAGAGCTGCACTTCTTTGCGTTTTTTGCGCTCGCGGTTATCAGCTGTTCGGAGAAGCGACAGATGAGAAACAATCATTGGTTCCGGACCGTGATACATACATAAGGAATAGCATCCGCAGAAATATTCCTCAGATGAATTCAATCATTATTATAATAATAATTATCACCGTCGGATGATGCTTATCATAATATCACGAATAAATAATGACTCGCGAGCATCCAATCCACGGACAATACTCACTGAGCACGTCGGTCTCATCGACGATTTCTATCTTGAGGATTTCTTCAATCACGTCCTCAAGCGTGACGATGCCGACCACGGTGTAGATCGGATCCGCGTCATCGGCCGTTCGGATCGACTGAACGATGGACATGTGACTCTTCCCTTTTTTAAATTCGTCCAGCAGCTCATCCAGGCATTGGTCTTCGAAGCAATATGTCAAAGGGTGCTTGTAGAAATCGCACACCGTCTTCAGCGGGAAAGCGTCCGCTGGATCTACGAAGGCCAAGTCTGCAAAAAGCCAGATCCGTTCCGTTATGGGAGCTCCGGTCGGGTCGACATCGCGGCTTCGATAGGAACTTGCTATAAATCAATCGATTGATCATTCGAGCTGCACGAACCTTTTATATTAAGTAAGGCAACTATGGTATCTCTATTTCCGTCGTAGACAGGTATACGCGTGTAGCCTTGACGGATGATGTTGGAAACGGTTTCAAAGTCCAGCACGGTGTCGTACGGTAGCATGAATACATCGTCGATGATGGTCATAATCTGACCAGCATGTTTCGTTTTGAGCTCGAGAGCTCCCGAGATTATGTTCACTTCCTCGTTGGCCAACTGGAACACGCAATCGATGAAAAACCCCGTTCTAATCGATCGAACGATCCCGCTCGGGGTCCCTCTGTAATTTTCCCCCTCACTGAGCACGCAAGCATCGGAAATCGTTCAGCTCCCAGCGATTATTTTCCCGACCTGTGTATAGTCCATGGTGAGTTTTATGTATTCGACCAGCTTCTCTCGATCGTAAACATGGCCGATCTCTTCACCAAGACAGTAGTCCAGAACGAGTGATATCGGATACGACGCCGGGAATGTGATGACCATGAAGATTTTCGTTATGACCAGAGTCCGCGCTCCGACTTCCAAGCCGTGTCGAGAACAGATGGCTTGTGGAATTATCTCTCCGAATATTACGATGGCAATCGTAGCACTCAATATGGCCACGAGCCCTGCAAGGAAAGCAAAAACTCGCAGTGAATGGAGGATCCGAGAGCTCATGGGTTCCTGGTCGATCGCTCCGGGGTCGAAGAATCCCTGACGAAGGGTCGTCATGGTTGTAACCAGGTAGTGGTGAATCTGAGCTTACCCGATGTGAGGTCGTCCATCAGTATAGTCAGCGTGTTGTTCACTAAAACGTTGCCGAGTAGCAACGAGCAGAGCAAATAGTTTCCGTGATTCCTTAGCGGCGCTATAGCCTTGGCGCATTTTTGTTCGGATGGCGTTCCGCAGGACTCGATAACTCTCAATTCTGTTTTGTCGAGGGCCATCAAACCCAAGTTCAAACCTGAGAACAGACCGGAAAGTACGAGAAGCACGCCGATCAGACTCGCTTGCACCCAGATCGGCAGCAAACGTCCTGCGCATCTGAAGGAGAGCCACACTGGGTCGCCTTGGTGTGTCCAGCTGAAAAAACGAAGGAAATCATGATCGATTACTTTCGGTATGTGCTCCGATGATGATGTATCGGATCCGCGCAAGGCTTTTCGTGAGCATACCCATTTTTTTCTCCCTCTTCGTTCATGTATTTGACGCATAAGTATAAGAGTCCAGGCGAGGCAGCGAATTCCGCACGAATTGTTGCGGTGTCCCTCTGCACGAGGACCGCATCTGTAGAAAACAGGATGACTTTCGCGAGCGCCATGTTATCGCACGACGCACCCTTCGCAGCTTGGGGGAGAGAAAGCTGAATTTATCGCACGCCAATGCTTTTCGCTCATGCACGGCTAAATAATTGCGTCGCCTAATGATTGTAGTACGATTCGTGGAGGAGATCGGTGGATCCTAATGAAAAATCCTGGAGCACTGATCTGCGAGGCGTCATGAGGTGTGGAGCATGCCGATGGACACTCACCCGGTACATTGGTGAAAGCGAGAGCCGTCGTATTGTTGAAACCGGAACCAAACACTTGCAGGATGAGCGAAGTATCGGCTGGGATCTCTGAAGTGCCGGTCTCGGTGTCGACAGATATCCGAGTGGAGCCGAAGAATCGGAAACCACTGATTTCCGGGGCGAGCTGCCGCGACTCACTGGAGAACGTTGAAATTTTCTTTGAAAAACGGGAATTGGATGCTTCCGAAATTCGGACGCTCCTCCTCTCTCGTCGCGGGTCTTGTCTGGGGGAATTCTTTGTATTCATGCATCTGTGGGGGATCGGTTCCTTTAATCCTCCGCTCGATTAACATTCGTATTCTCACGAATAAAGAAACGCAGGGACGCCGTATCCCGACTCCGAAATCTTCCTCACGGATCGGCGGTCGCGATTCGCAATCTGATGCGAGCCTGGGGACACCTCGACAGTCAAATCGAAGCGAATCGAGCCCACATGGGGGTCCCCGGAAGCCTCTTCGAACTCCAATGTGTGTCCCACCAGCTATTGATGCGCATGCTGTGAATATGTCGTCTCAGCCCGCCAACCGCCGGGTCAACGGCGAGGTTGAGTGAATTTTTCACTGACCCAACGAGGGGCGTATCGATTCCCATACTTCCCGTAGATCGTAGACAACTTCGAGGTACCCGGGGCAATCTATTCACAGGCTGGCTCTGCTATAAGCTCTCGGGAATGCGAAATTAGATTGATATGTGACACAAAAAGAGACTGCATTTCCCGAAAGTCCCTGCGGAGAGATCCGTGGAAGCATACGCTGACGTCGAGCGTGAAACGAAAAAATATTTTCGAGATCTTGAAACAGGTTCCAAACAGCTACTCGACCCTTACACAGATATCTACGAGAGCATTCTCTTCCTTCCACGTTCTATTTACGTGATAAAAGGGACGGGATAGACTGGCGGGCATTGCAGCTGTCGTGGTGTAGAATCATTCAAGTGCGCAGCGTAACTCGACTAGCCTTCGAGACCGGACGAAAAAGAGTACATCCGGTACATTTTGTCTAGCTGGTCCCTCACGTGAAAACTTTTGGCATCGAAGAGCTGCTTAGCGGTCCTCGATAGAAGAATGAATAATCTCATGCCTAATCAAGGGATGGGAGGTTCGAGTTTTTGAATTCCCAATCCATTCAATAGGTCCCTCAGAACAATGTCACAACAATAGACACCGTGACCGACTGTCACAAGAGGTGTCCGACAACTCTACCAGTTGTGTTCGATTGACGGCCGTGATGACACTCGGTCGACATCGATGGGTCGGAGTGGAGATTGGTGGGAGAATGGATAGACGGACGGACGGACCACTCGAGGGCTCGATGAATGATTCAGACACCCTATGGTCGAAACGAGACGCGCTCGATCAGAACACGAATTTACATGCGATTGTGGTACGAAAATTCCTGAATGCGTCGTAGAGAGGCCGCGTGGTCCGCGCGAAATATGAAAACGGATAGAAGGGCAGGCAAGAAGGCGAGCCAGGCAGATGAAGAGGAAGAAGAGATGACACGGACCAGCGGCGAACGTATTATCAAGTATCTCGGGGAACGGAATCTTCTCTATTTGATACTACCCACTGAACGGATCACCGTGGAACACTGGTTCTCTCTTGAGGCCTTCTTGTAGGCAGACGGGGTGTCTCAGCTTGATATTATTATAATAGAATCGCCTTGCACGAGCAGATACGTGATTGCTCCGCTAGGACCAAAGATCACGTGAAGCTTCGCTCGAATAGCTTCCTGAGGGAAATTGAGTCAATGCGGCATGACAGGGCTAGGGCCATTAAATTGCCAACAGCCCGATGCGCTGGGCGGAAACGCGCCGGGACGACACCCGGTGACAGACCAGTTTGTCATGGTTGACATGAAAGCCGCGTTTAATTCGGAGAGACGTCTATGAGATTGAATTTCCCTGGGAATACGTCGAATTCATCACCGGTTTCCCCAATTGAGGCATTGCGCCCGAAGGGTATTTTCCCACAATGAGTTGTCTGAGTGAGTTTGCACGAGCGACGACGGACAAGCCGCTCACGTCAGTGGTCTCCTTCCCCCGAATGGATCTAGGCCACCGAATTCCCTTAGGACGAAAGTTCCTTCGGCATTTCGATCGATTCACCCAATGACGACCGATTGAGAATACATAATTTCTTGCTTCTTGCCCGGGAATTCCGTAACTTTAGACATGTAGCACCACACCAATATTACTATTATCACCGATCCGGGGATTTATTCGGTCCCGATTCGGAACAAGCCTATCAGGGCACCGAAGATCGCGCCGAGTCTTGAGGAATCGAGATGCAAAAATTGTGTTGCGGATCGAGACCGAGGAAGAGAATTATTCTTGAATCGAATGAAAGAATCCGGCCGCGAGCTTCAGGCTCTTTCGATTCAATGAATACCTCGGCTAATATGGAGCTTTCCCTGCCCGGTTTCTGAGCTACCTAGGCCGAACATCGAGAATCCACCATTAGAGGCTTACCTGCTAAGATATTTGAACTTGATTTCTTCGCCGAGATGCCGAAACGACTCGTTGAGTCCTCTCTGAATGCAGAGGTAGAGCCACATCCCTTCCTCGATGGGTTCTCCTGATCTGAATTGTGGCGGCAAGACTCCTTGTACCCGCAAATTTTGTTGGAAGACTGTTCCATTGTGTGAAAACTTCTGGTGCATGAAAGCCGCGGTTCTCCCGGAGGCACAACTATCCCCAGGATTGCCGCTGTCCCCACTAACGACGACATCGGTGATCTGAAACTCAAATAATGCGGTCGATTTCTCGGAAGTACCGGCTTGTTGACTCAAGATACATTTTACCTCGGCATCGTAGGCTCGCGCTTCCGCGATTATCCTCTATAAATATTTCCGCTCTCGACTTCTGAATAGTTTTGGGAGCCTATGACTCTTGTTGAAGACTTCCGGGCGCAGAGATTCTTTAGGTGAACGGGCTTGAACTCGCTTCGTTGGATATTCAGAATGATCGAGTAGAGAGAGCCAAAGTTCCGAAGACTGTCGGGAGTAGAGAAGAATGCGAGCCGCGAGGAGCACCAAACACCGTTATGACACTGACACATGCGACCGTGGATCACCGATCAGCACCCTCCCCCTAGGAAATGACCACAAGCGGGATCACGTCACGAGTCGTTCACGACTTGATCAAACTCCTCAAGTATTTGGAAGAGCCCAGGCTAGCCTCGCGGAACACTCGTTGGAGTATCTTATCTTCCCTTATCCAACATCATCGAGCGTGTTCACCGAGTGTCAATCGGTGGTGCAGCTTCCCGAGATTCTCCCATCCAATTTTTTCCAGAGTTTTCAAGGGACGCGATGAGCAGGAGAACTTCGTTTAGGAACCGAGAGTTGTAGCGCAAACACGACTTGGGGATTATTCGGCGCGTCCCCAAGATGGTGAAGGAACCATCGAGCTCCGTCGTCGAGATTTCGACCTAAATCAAGACGGATGAATGTTTGTGAGCATCCCTGTCGCGTATTCGAATTCGCGGCGACCGCCCGCTCTGGACGGAGGGAGAGGAAGAAATGACCGTAAAAACGACGCGCGATGACGTAATATCGCGAACGTATCCGTATTCGGAAACTGGAACTTTTCGGAACGCAACCTTCGGTGACGAGTATGCATGACTTGGAGCGTATACCGGAATTAATGAACGCTTCCTCCCCCTGACTGTGCCGAGCATGGAAGTTTCCCAGATGATGACACGCTCCCACGAGCCCGGAGGGCGGGAAATGCCCTCAGAGTGAGACGAGCTTCGAGAGAAGCGAGCTCAGCCGAGTTGTCGAGTACGACCGCTCGCGACCAAAGTACTTGGTCAACATTACGAGTTCGGCGGATGACCAGAATCGCAAGTGAGTCATGAAATACGGAATCAGCGGTCTCGGGACATTCCTTGGAGCGGTAATTCGGGACTTGAACAGCGAGAAACAGCCAAGAATATCCGGAAGGGCATCGATGTCCCTTTATAAAAAGAAACATAAATGACTTGAAGTGAGAAACAATAGGAAAAGCTTTCGCTGGATGATACCAACTCGATGTCAGTCCCCCACAATCAGAGGCGAGCCTGCGAGTACTGATAATAATTGACAATGCTCACCACAAAACAAATGAGTGAATGCGAACATGGCACACGACAGATAAGACGAACGACAGGCAACACGACGAAAAGCACAGAATGCGTCTGCCACGGGCGAGGACAGTTACACGGAGCGGTGGAAAAATCACCGGATTGAGACTGGGTCGTAAAGCATGGGTTTATCTTCGTTCGAAATTTGTAACTGTAGTCGTACAAGAGTCAAGAAGCTGTCCAACATTCGATACGATAATTGCGTAGGTTTCGCGGGAATTGATTCTCTGATTGCCGCGATCGGAAACGGAAGATTTCTGTCGCTGATCTTCTTGCTCGTAGTACATACCCAAGTCATGGGTCGCCTATAATAGTTGAGCTTGCGCTTCATTGAGTGATAGGCTCGACCGGAGCTGCTCTGAGATCCGCCGCAGCCCTGTCTCGTGTACGCTTTCGGTCCGGACAGAAATGTTCAATCCCAACTGACAATACGGGCTTGTTTATCCGGCGGTCAGCCTCTCGATCAAAGGATTGTAATGCAAGACGATACTGACACTCAGTGGGTCGACGTGGTTTACGACGGCGGAGAGCAGTCTAAGGGAGCGAAATTTCCGAAATGGACAGAAGAGCTCATCGGGCTGTCAACTCAGCCTCTGCTGTCGTTCCGAAGGCAGCAATATCTCCCTGCGACCGCGAATTTGTCCATCGATTGCTCATGAAGCAATAATATCGTCGGCTGCGGCGATGGTGCGTTTCTCACGTTAAGACGCGTCTTGGGGTCGATAACCCCGGCTAACCAACTCACAGATGGACGAATTGGTCAACCAACATCTGCAACGACAGCCCAAACGGCCTTCAGATGGATGCGACCTGTTTTCGTACGACCAACTGCTTGAAATCAGCCGACTGAATGAGTTTCTCTACAAAGCGACCACCGGCACCATTTTGAGAGAACACGGCACGGGCAATAGTCGCGGCGTTTAAGGCGGAATGAGCGTGTCAAGGAACATCCAGGACCCAGCGATTAGCCGGAAGGATCACGTGAAATCAAGCGGTCCTTAGGTAGGGGGCCTCATGTAGCCGAAAATCGTAGTTTCCGCAAACCGTCAATTCAACTCGATTTGGGTGCCGTATTCGTGAGAACTTTCTACAGCAGTTCTCAATGATTGAATATGAATGGATAAGTGACGGGATAATGAACAAATGGTGAATCTCAGTCGCGACTCGTCATCACTATGTTTTTCTTCCTTAACTCCCGCATACAGTCGGAGACAGGGATGTTCCGGAAGGAGATGCTCTTAGACGGGATCCACTGGAGACCTTTGGATATCCATATGACCAAGGAATCTCGATGGAGAGCCTGTCCCGTTCTCATTCTACCCAACCAAGAGACCATGGAACTCGATCAGGAGAAAACTCTCCGGAGCGGAGGATTTCTGGAACAGAATGCCCCTCCGAGTCCCGCTCCGAAGGTACGGGTCTGTGTTGTGCTCAGTCAGTGATACTGTGGAGCGCGATCTTGACGGATGCGACTCCTCGCGCCTCCTCACCCCACGGTTCGAGATAGCGAGCGACCGCGTTTTGTGGCATCATAACCGGGCCAAGACATCAGAGATCTCCATTCACTGAGAGCACGCGTCACACAGCGTTGGTGGTTATTTTGAGTAAAGGACCATCTCGAAGAAAGCATCATACTTCTCCGTTAGTGGCAGCAGCAGCAGCAGCGCGGTGGAAACGTTCATGAAGCTGCAGTCTTCTTGTCAACGGATGTCGTTGCATTCATGCAAGCTCGCATGTGTGCATATCACCCTTTCCCCTCCATTGCGGGAAACCAGCACGAATAATGAGGGTTTCCGACTTCAGGAGTGAATAATTCTGGTCCTCACGCAAATCCCGTGCGGAGTCGACGTACCGTTGGATTTTAGCCAGAGACATGCGCACACTCGCTCTCTCCAGTGGATGCATGTGAAGTGGTTGGAAAAATGTCGAGAGCTGTCAAAATGCCGATCGCGATGAGCGGCCGCGGAGTGCCGATCATCATGGGGGCTCGCGATTTTTCGAACTCGCACATTCTCTGACATGTGGTCGAATGGCGGGTGGATGACAATAACAAGAAACACATGTATAAACAACTCCAATCCGACTGTTACGTCGAAACTCCATGAGCCCACGAGACGCAACCGGCCGGCGGCCACGCTCGCCAAGTCATAACCGTCCGGAATACCCGAGGAAATGATTCGATCTCGAAACTCACCTCGCTCAACCCGGTTCCGGAGAACAGCAGCGTGTTTGCTTTCCGAGCGACGAGCTCGCGAGTATTTTGCTCGGAACGGAGAACACTCTCAACAGTCCACACATCGGTCGATTCCGGAGGCGGTTGAGCCGAACATTGAGCACAGAACCAAACTGTCAGACACCATAATATCCAAATCGGCCAAGTGGAGGCCGATACTCCACGCACCATCTCACTACGACTGCTCCACGGACTACTGGGGAGCAGCAGCTCTTTCAGAAGGAGCTCTCCGCTCAGCTGATCACCGAGTTGTCAACTACGCTCATGAGATGGCGCTGTCGGCTCGCGACCGGAGAGAAGACATTCGAGCGGCGCCAAAGTTCAAATCGGAATATTCCTGCCGGCTCTCGGCTTCGCGTTGCGCGAGAACAAACTGAGCTGTCTCTGAGCTCCATCCGTTGCGTTTCCACCAACACGGGAATCGACTTTTCCGGCCGGGCCATTCGACGGGGGTCTTGAATCCGCGATAGACCAGGAGATTCCCCGTCTGTTTCGAGCTACCCTCCTCTTCGCGAGACTCCCCTGTCGACAGCCCGATGACGTCACAGACACAACACGGACCGAGGGTCTCGACTGCAGGTTGCTTTCGGGAAGATTGGCAAAATGGCGGCCTCGTTGTGGAAAACGTCTCTTGCTCTCGCCTGGCGGCTCGTGCACCAAGGTCGAAACACCAGCAGAATGGGCACCATAGTACGCAAATCAGGACTCGATTACAGGTGCTCTGCTCGTGTCGGGTGTTGACGTCGCCCTCGGCGATCGACTTCCCCGAGCGATCGAGTTGCCTTCGGAAGCTTCAGACCCCATGACATTCAGTGTAGGGTGAGTGTGACGTTCGTGTTTGCTGTTGCTCTCCGATGCGGCCTCCAAGTGTCATTACGTAAACCGATCCGCGAGATGTGCTGCGGCAAAGTAGACGCCATCGGCGGCGCCCAGCGCCACGAACTTGAAATATATAATCCTCTGCGTGTCGATAAGATTCGTAGGTGCCGTTCCGGCAGCTCTCTTGAGTGCTCGAAGACGGTATTCCAGTGTCTTGTGGGATGGACTGGAACGGTGCACTGCCGGAGCGGTCATCGATCGATCGATTGATCAATCGATTGATTGCTTGATCAAGTGTTTGGTTGTCATTGCCAATGTTCCGCGAGGTACTTTGAAGCCCTCTTCGGTAAGTCGCGTCGCTTCCGAATGGTACTCCTCGAACCGGAGCCCCGTAACATTTGCGAACTGTGCGTTTGTCTCGCTTCTCGACTATTCTCACTGAATTCGCCGGCTTCCGCTTTAGTGACGCTCTTCGTGGGAAGAGCAAAAATCGTCTCCAACATGATTCGGGGCCAGCCAATTGTGACGCAAATGCAACTTCTGTGTATTGTATTCAATGTAGTCGGAACTAGTTCTTCGGGCGGTGAGGAGATCACTATTCTGGGACGTCTCAAAGCTCAGAAGGCAAAGGAATTAATAAGTTCACCTCTAGTCTAGTAAATTGGCGATGCATCGGGGAAAGTCGGTCAGATCCTAGAAAATCAACTCTGAGATCAAGTCGAGACTTTCGCCGGAGCTTGCGATGGATTCATGTCTCAGGCGTCGGAACCTGATTCATGTATTATTGGGAATGGCAGGACTCTCGAGTTCCCCTCTGAAAATATTAATAGAATAGCTCTCCGGAGGGAGATTTTCGCCTCGCTGATCAACGATTCAGTTCTCGACCCTCGAGGTACGATTTTCCGCGGAATCTTCAATGAATCTCTTCCGACCAAAGAAAGCGACTAACTTTCGGATCACTCGCGCGGGTGATGGTACGTTTGCGATACCGAAAACCGAATGCCTGCGCTGAGAGCGGCCGCGTGAGTCGCTCGCTTTCTTTCCGCCGACGATGACCTTGCTCAAAAATGAAGCTCGAGCATGCCAATGAGAGTCAGACTCTTGCAACAGCGATAAGGCTCCGTGATCGCGAGTTCGGTGATCGGCGATCTCTTATTGTGTCGCACGGCCGGCTGGGAAACTCGGGACTTTGAAAATTGCATGCGATTCCATTCCCCGACTTCGGGCGGCTTCAGGGATTCCAGTTCTGAGAGCCGAGAACTCGTTCCTGAGTTCTTCTCGGACATCGTGATTCGAGAAGCACATTCTTCGGAAGAACGCCTGGCGGGATTTTCGTGAAAGTTTCTCCAAACGATCCATACGCGAAAGCGGAGGACGATGACTGCGACAACTCTCATGGTGTCCGCTGGGTGGCGGGAGCGAACTTCTTCGACGAGACTGTTGCTCACGAGCCGCCATACCTTGACGGCGGACTCTACGCAGGGGAGACGGCGTCAGCGGAGTCTCTCCATGCGTTCGCTACGCTGGTGTTCCATTCTCGGTTGTCATTGCTGTGCGCCTGCTGAGCAGGACGACGATGGGGAATTTCAACCGATTGAGAAACATGTTGCAAAGGCAATCAAGTCTCACAGGTAAACTCCCGCGCATATTTCCGTTCAGGAGCTCTTCTGATCAGAGCCTGCGTGCTCGCAGCTGAGGATGAGCACTCGTGGTACACTCTCGGTCGTCAACAGCAAGCTGTAGATGCTCCCTGCAAGTGGATTTTTCGAGAATCGGCCTCCATCACGCAAGTTCAAACTGTTCGTGGTTGATATCTAGTGTCATTTAGCTCATAGATAGTTTCTCATCAACGCTATACCTAGACAGGAGAACAAGTCTTCCCTCTTGTGCGAATAATGAGCACGGACTCATCGTTATGTCGCGTCGGCAGACATTTCTCACAACCTATCTACCGATTCGTGTGACGGGGTTAGGAGAGACGAGAGACTAATTATTGTATATATTTAGCTTTACCAATTGGCTCCTCAAGTTCCTCGCTTCGCCGCTCTGATACCGGATCGAGGCGAAGGTTGAATGTGAAAATGTGGTTGAAGATCACATGCGCCATCGGTTTCTTTGATTATGCTGGAGAGCTCAGCATAGAAGAAACATATATTTTCCGAGCCGGTTCAAATGCACTCTGAGATTCTCTGAAGCAGGTGGAGTGAAGCTGAGTCGAAGTTGGGAAGTCGATTGTGACTTCTCGCTTCATTTATTTTCCAATTTTCGCAAAGTTCCGAAGTCGAATCGAGATCTGGGTTCTGGTCGATGTCTAAGGTGCGGGTTCGCTGAGAGAAGATCCCTCGATTTTCTTCACGAGAGAGGGCAGAGCTCGGATCGTTCCCGGGGCCAATGCTATTCACACGTTCCCCATCGAACACTGGAAGAAATCCGATACTTTCCAGCGAATGCTTGCCTGTGAGCCGCTCAAGCTTGCTTATCGCCTTGAACGACCGCGGGAAGGATGAGAAATTGAAAGAAGAGCCGATTTGTGGTCGGGAACTCTTCAGATTCTTGTGATTGGAGAAAAGCTGACATTTCTGGAGCTCGACTCCTCGTCCATCCGTTGCAGCATATCAGAGAGAATTAAAGTCTCTTACCTATCTAGTTAGGCCATTATTCCTGCGTATCTTGTGTGTTGTGTGCTGCGCTCTTCCTGATGAGGCTGTCGGTGATTTTGGAGCGATGGAAAGTTTCCTTTCATCCCTCGTGAGTCGTGAGAATGCACAAGTCTTGCTCCGGAACGCTTGATTCTCGCGCGATCGTTACTCTTCCACCGAAAGTCCTCAACCATTCTTCGAGAGAGTCGGTCCCATCACCGAAAATAAAATCCTCCGATAGGCGAGGAGATTGCCAAAAAATAGCGTATGAACGCATGCGATACATCCGCCCGAAATCGATCAGTCCGATAAAAAGGGATAGGCCGGCGAATGTGATGGCGTTCGCATCTTTAAAGGTTGATCTAACGGAGAATTGGCTCGGCGGCGGCGTCGAATCTATCCCTAGGATGTCGAGGCTGTAATCTCGTTATGGAGACTGACGGCTATCTGAATCTCGAAACTGGACAGACTCCCTTTGGGCGCTTGAGCTGGAGGAGAAACCTCGAACGGGGAATTCTCGAAGTTCCGGTATTCGCGTGATTGCACGACTTCCGCGTCGGGGCCACATACGACGCGAGAGCGGGTTGCGTTTGATAGTCGCGTTGTCCTTATCAATCCGATAGATCGGTATCTATCTTGTCCCGTTTCCACCCCGAAAAACCTCAACTGAAACATGCGATTGTTTTTCCATTCACAGATATGGACCTGAAGCTGGATCAGAGTCTCGGCTGGTACCAGAAAAAGATCGGTGCCTACGACAAGGAGGCATGGGAGCGTCACGTCGAGCGCAGAGTGCTTCGCGGCGTCAGCGGACTGCCAAAGAAAAGCGCCAAGTTCAAAGCAGGCTTCATCGACGTGGACCTCGTTCGGGGGTCCACTTTCAAGAAGAAGAAGCCTCGAAGTTCATGGCTAATGCTGTGTGCCAAAGGAGCACTTAGAGTTCTTCTGTACCCGCTGTACATAACTTGGTGGACACAACATACGAGCCATGCCGTTTCGATGTACTTCCTTTTTCTATACTTGTCGCAGATCTATGCGACCTATCTGAACGTATACGTCAACCCGCAGGATGACTTTGATCTTCTCGTGATCGAAGTCATCACGCCCCTTGTCGTCATGTGCTTCCTGGGAGCCATACACGAACAAATCGCAACGAAAAGTGTATCGAACGGAGCGAACTTCCCGAAACACGGTCAGAAAAGGCGCTTGAGACGGAAACTACACAAAGCCCCAAGCGAAGTCGAGGGCAAGCAAGCCGAGAACAAAGAGGACAGCAAGGAGAGCGGGCTCGAGAGTCTCGACTTCGCGACCAAGAATACCGTCGACAGCTCCGAGAAAGGCTCGAGTCCAACAAGTCTGAGCGAACCGCAGACTCCGGAGCATCATCTGAAGATTGTGATCTCCTCCGATGACGATGAGTTCTTCATCGCGAAAAGTCGCAGCGAAATGAACAACTTACGCCGCAGACGCAAGCTCAAGCGACGCTCCGACGGAGTCCTCTACGACCTGAATCATCTGAGGTTGGCCGACGATCTCAACGCCCACCGAAGACTCTCTGCTGAAAGCGGGGCTTCCTACATCCGCAACCACATCTGGGACAAGCTGAGCGACGACCGGAACGAGACGGCGAGCAGCGCGGACGAGTCACAGTTCCCGCAAGGTCTGAAGAATCAATCGGATTTCGAATGGCCCTCCCAGACCGATTGCAACTATATCTCCTCGAGTTCGGAGAACCTCCATTCGGATGAGGCTACGGACGACGACGATTACGGTGACGATATTGCGCCCTTGCAGTGTAGCTCAGTGGATAAAGTCAGCTGCACGATCTGGGAACACGGCGACTGCAAGAAAGTTGACCTGTCCATTTTCGACATTGCATCAGCGATCGTCAGGAAAGTTGAAAACTGGAGACACGCCAACGAATATCCCGTATTGGCGTTGGTCCTCAGCTTCGTTTTGGCCCTGTATCCGTTCTACTTCAAGACGGAGTTGCGTTCGCCCCTTCAGCAGTATTACTTTTATCAGGATGCCACCGAAACGGGCTTCAACTCCTCGGCCCTAGAAGCGCAGCCAAACTCGACCCGCGAATCAGGACAAGCCTTGAGCGACGAAGCGAAAATCATTACCACGGCCTGTCTTGTCAGGCTCAGCCTGTCCTGCACTTTTTTCTATCTGCTGTGCGTGGCCGAACGGACGTTCACTCAACGGTTCCTTTACGCGAAACATTTCTGTCAGCTGACGTCCGCACGGAGAGCCTACCGATCGGAACTGCCCCATTTCCGGTTGAATAAAGTCCGAAACATCAAGACGTGGCTCAGTGTTCGATCCTATCTCAAGAAGCACGGACCCCAGCAATCGGTCGATGCCATTGTTTCAACGGCTTTTGTGATGGGCGTTTGCGTGTTGTCCTTATTTTGCGCGCAAATGCTCCGAGACGGCCACTCGCTCGAGAAGCTATTCTGCTGCGAATGCGCACTCTGGTGCATCGGAATCGGAGTCTTCATGACTCGCTTCATGATGCTGGGCTTGAAAATCAACAAAAAATATCGGAACCATTCAATTCTGATAACAGAACAAATCAATCTCTATCTGCACATGGAGCAAAAACCACAGAAGAAAGATGAGCTAGTCCTGGTGAACAACGTGCTCAAGTTGGCCGCTGATCTTCTCAAAGAACTCGAAAGTCCGTTCAAGATCTCCGGAATCTGCGCCAACCCCTACCTGTACAATATAACCAAAGTAATTTGTGTGTCGGCGTTCTCCGCAGCTCTGTCCGAACTTCTCGGGTTCAAATTGAAACTCCACAAGATAAAAATCAAATAGAAATCGAGCCACGTCGTCGACCCGAGGAGGCTCTCCAGAGCCTCGTCGCATGGTCCACCCGCCGCGAGAGCAGATGGTTTTCATGAGAAAGCACCTTATTCTGTATATTCCATACATTGGATGACGTTGAGCCTATAGCTCACCGAGGAGTAAATTCTTGTTGTAGTGCTTTTCTAAGTTGGACGCGACATCTAGATCCCGAACACCAAATGGGACTAGCAGATGATAGTAGCCATCTCAGTGGGACCCGAAAAAACCAAGTGAGATCTTCGGAGGCAAGGAGGACAAATTTTCCGCATCGATTTTGATTGTTATGGCGGGGATATCGTTCCTCGTCAACTTGTTGAGTGATTGAAGGATGTTCTAGCCCTTGTTATGGAATTTCATCATCCGCATCGATTGATGCACAAGATTGCATTCTCACAATGTCACACATACAGTCGGACTACCTATCGTATAGCTTGTTGTGAATCGCTGGCCACTCACTAATGTCTCCGAGTGAGCATTGTATCATACATGATCCCGTGTCCCGGACCCTCCGGATCTTTTTATTAGATAGTTAGGCAAGTTTCTACTTATTCACCCAAGTTTGTACAAATGCACAGACTTCGCTATTGATTGTTTTGTGTTTTCAAGATTAGCTGTGGCGTTGCCTGCCAACCTTCCCCTCATCCTGCGCCTCCCCATCGATACAGTTCCTTGTGGCTCTCGCCTCGTCAGAGTTTCTAGGACAGTGATATGGGAGAATCGCAGAGCGAATTTCTCGGAGGAATCTGAGAATGAGACGAGAACAAAACAATGTACAGCCCTTATGATGCTCGCACAGAGTTCGGTACGGCGGGCGGCGCGACTCCCTTGTAACGAGTACGAGTTTGCGCAGGCTCGGATACGAATGCAAATGAATGAATGAAATAAAACAAAATTTTTCGTCCTCATTTGTAGTTTCGCTTTATTGGATCATATCGTCGTCTTATAGCGGCGACCATGTGAACGACTCGGGTCGGCGACAGGTATTGCGGACCTGTCCGATAATATGCGATGCGTACGCGACGGCGGACAGGCTGAAGTTCGACCTGAGCGACCTTCGACAAAGGCTAGGGAAATTCTTGGCAACTGTTGGACAGACGAGCTTATAGGTCACAGATCAGTGCCAAACTCGTCATGTCAGTGGAGGATGAGATGAATCTAATTACTGTAAGAAGCAAAACGGCGTTATGCATGACGCATAAGGCAGCTTGCTGAGTCTTGACCGGCTGGCTCCTCCAGAAACCGCTTCCGCGGTCTCGAATTTCAGGATTTGACGACCCGCTACACAGAGAAGGGTAACTTCCGAAATCATTCGGTAGTCGATGATTCGACTCTTCGCTTTCGCTGATTTGGAACTTATATAATACATACAATTTGGAGTTACAGTTGTTGTGTTGTAAAGTTTTCTACAAATATCTCTGTTTTGTACAATGCAGTGGTGAAAATGATGACTCTTCAAACGAGTGAACTGCAACTGTGAAACGAGCGAAGTTTCCGAGCCTCGGCCGTCGGGGGCAGGAATATGCCGCTGCGACGATTCTTAAACGTCGATAAGGTTTTGCCCAGAGGAACTTTCGGGGTTATCGGCGATGACGATGGAGAACTCATCGATGAGCTTTGACTTGAGTTCCTTCCACCCTTCGTGATGTTGATGTATCGCAGCCATCCATTGAAGAGACGGTCGGCTATCCGCATCGATGGTCCGGTCTTGTATTTGCAGCTCTTCCGCAATTTCACAGCCGTGTCCAGAAGTCGGCGACCGTACTCGTAGGCTTCCTGCAACGAAAAAGAATCGTATCGAGTCCGATATCTCCACGGATTGGATAAGTTCTCCAAATGCGGGTCACGGGACACACGGCAGGCGAGGATTCGCGCCACTGACGAACGAGGAAGGCGACCCATTGATCATTAGACATGATGAACAGAGACATGTGGAGAGAGGTGGTAGGAGTGAACATATCAAGGAAAGGCACATCAAAGTACCTTGGCCGTTGTGTCCATCTTCTCGTGTTTCAAGCGCGAACTCTGCTCTTCGATTCCGCTGTCGGATTCCAACGAGTTCTGTGCCGCCAGACACAAATCCTCGAGCCAGTGGATTGACTGCAACAAACGGAAATGATCATTAAGCAGCTGTTACGGGGTCGGTCTACCATCGCATCACTGGATCTCGGCGATGCGAATCACTTCGAATGACGAAAATGAAAATTTCTACGAATTCCGATCCTCGCACTCATCGCGGGTATCGAAAGCCTCGGGGAAGGAGTTGCGGGGGAAAACTACGAACCTGTTTAGCGTCTTGTTCGCAGCTGAGCAACTGAACCGTTTGCACCAGATGGTTCCGTTTTGTGTCGATGAGTGTTCTCACGCTGTCCATATCCTTCTGTATAGCGCCACACATTCGCTGCACCATGGGTTGAGCGGCCTCGAACTCTCGGTTCTGGAGACTTTTCGCGAACGCCACAGAGATCCGCTTGAAGTCTTCCAGATTACTTCGGAGAACAGTGCTGGTTTCGTCGAGTTCCAAGATGGCTTTGTGAGCGTCCTGGATCGTTTGGCCATCGGCCAGCAAGGGATCCTCGTCATCAGCAACGCTGCATCCATCGGAATTACACGAATCGCAGGCCGAATCGGTGCCGGTGCTACCGCTCATGTCTCCTCCGGATGCACTGCTGCTGTTCCCAGCGCAAACTCGTCGTTCGACGTCTTTGGCTAATTTCAATGTATGTTCGAATGTTTGATAGAAGACGACGGCTAGCTCCGACGCACGGCGTCGCGCATCCACCTTCGTTGCAAACACTTGGCACGTTGCGTCGAGTCGCTGTATCGTCGACTGGATTGTTGCGATGTCCGGGTTCGGCTCCTGCGAGGGGGAAACACGTGGATTAAGCCGACGAAAGCATCTCGCCCTTTTCGGATCAGGGATCTCGAACTTAGGAAGTCTGCCTATAGCGGCCGAAGGGGAGGGGAACGGGGGATGCTTGCATCTATTGCTTTCGACTTACTCTGAGTAGGTGCTGCGCGAGACTTTTGAGTTGCAAGTAACGGGTGTAACATTCCATTGAGAGGGCAGCAACTTGATGCATGTGCTTCCGTTTGACTAGCGCTTCTTCGAAAGAAGCCGCGATGACCGGAGTTCCCTCCTTGAGGAGGCGTTCTCCTTCAGACTCTACCCAGGAGACGACTTCGGCGCTTTCTTGAACAAACCGTTGCATGTTCGATATTTGCCTCAATGCCCCGTGCAAAGCCTTCCAGCGTTCGTCGTAGGAGTTTTTGATACTCGCTACCGAGTCGAGCACGGTTTTGACGCTTCGCAATTGCGACGCATTCTGTTTCAGGGCGCCTTTGCCGCACTGAGATAGGGAGCCCGTCGTCTCACTCTGGAGACTCAGGAGCAACTTTTGGCCGTTGACGAACGTGTTCTGAATCACGTCGCCCATCGCGTCACAGCTCCTCTGAATGTCCTCCACCGACGCGGGATTGGGGCCCTCCATGTCGAGCCGGGCTTCGCATGTGTGGATCGTCGACTCGGCATGTTTTCTGATTATTCTCGCGTCCCTCAGAAACTTCTCTATTGCCAGCTGACGCTCCAACCAAGCCGCGTGATTGTATTCCAGGGTCCCTCCGAACTCGTTAGTCAGTTGGAAAGGCGAAATAACTTTGAAGAGTTTCTGTTGAGTTACGAAACTCATCGTCGCCCCCGAATTTTCCTGAAGCGACTTCCGCAGATCTGGTGATGAGCGACTCTTGTTCCACAGCCCGTGTGACGAGTACACGTAGATGGCGTTGAGGCAATCACCGAACACATTCTGGACGGAGCCTATCACCTCCTCAAGGCATCGGTTCAGGACTGGGGATCCCTCCAGCAGCACCGACAGTCCGATTTCTCGCTCCTCCTCCCTGCGCGACGAAAGAAAGATTGAAATATTCCCGCAGATGAGAAATTCCCCAACGTTCATGGGGGTCAAGCGTCAAATCGAACATACAAATGGCGATCAATGATATCTCCGCCAGTTTTCCAGAACTCGACCACAGAACCCAGTTCGTATTGGGAAACGATAATGCGTCCGGGGATCGGGAATAACAAATGAGATATTCTCGAGTTCGAAGACGCTAAACGAATACCAACCCGATGAGATCCTTGAGGAAATGTAGCGTTTGCTTGAGGTCGTTCGAGTTGAAGTCATCCTGCGGCGCGAATATCGTCACAACCGGACCTCCTCGTTTGTCTTCACCACCTGTAGGGAGCGATGCGTCAAAATCAGAACAGAAAGCATGTCCGCCGTACTCCGGACTCCGGACCATGCATCTACACGGACTGGCACCAGAAGTCGACTGTCCTTGTCATTTTAGTTTTCGAGCGGGGCCAAGTGAATAACTTTCGAAGTACGCTCGTGTGCGATTGACAGCTCGCTCCATTATCGCGACGGATTTAGCACGAAATCCGAACAGAGTCACAGGAGCTTTCAAAGCGTGGAGCCTCTAATCTGTCCTCGTTCTGACAGAACGACTAGACGAGTCGGAAAGATAATCATCATCCGCTCATAACTTGGGATTACCGGACGACGGCGACCAGCACCGATAACATGTCGTACTTCGGACACAAGCCGCAACCGAGATTCTCTTTCTCGTGTCCGGCCCTTCTCGTTCGGGATCTTTCCCCGATGAGTCATCGAATGGTATGAAAATCGCTTATCGGACATATCATCTCCATCGGTACTATCGCCAGCCGAACTCTACCTAGGGGGGTACGCCATCTGGGAAGATAATAATAATCAGGGAAACTCAGACGAACGAATGGATTACCTGACAGAACGGCGAGTCGTTTACGCAGAACTTCAACGATTTCAGTTGCTCCGGGACCTGCAAGGTTGGATTTCCGTTTTGAGCTAGGCAAGGGGATGAGGGATAAATTCGAAAAGCAGCTAACATCTTCACATCATCTTAGCCTACCCCGCCCTATCCAAAGGAGAAATTTCGTTTTGGAATCGCTGGCTCAAACTTCGCATCCAAGGTAACGATACCATCAAAACAGCGTATTGAAACAGTATTCTCATCATTCAGAGAGCTGTTCTGCTAGTTTCGGCTCATTGTCATCAATATTTTGAACGCCTACTGCAAACAAGCTTCCCTTCACAATTTCTTTTCCTTTCGAAAATTCTCGTTCCAAGAATCCCGAAAGACGGATCCCCACACTGTGAAAGCAACGCAGGCAACCTTGAAGTAGAAGAAGTCAAGAAAAACGATGGATGGATCGCAATCCCTGACTCAAAGCGTTTCAATGGCTTCTGAACGCAGAAGAAGCGCTTACAATCGTCTGTGAGATACATTTATTTTGTATTCGACAAACTGGCTTCATTGCTCTAGCCCAGGGTTCAGTTTATTCCCTGCTCTGGAGCATTTCACAGCCCGTGGGTCACCTTCCTCGGAGAGCTCCACGTCCGGTGGAAACATGACCTAAACTGAAATATCGACACAATAGCGGCATTCAGAAAATTTGAGAAACTCCGCGGGACATTGATCTGCTTCTCCCTCTTCGATTACAGACGAGCTGCAAGAACGACTCGTCCACGCACGCGGTACGCGATACTGCGTACTGGATTGCATTGACGCGCACTTCATCGTTTTCAATGTGACCGAAGAAAGGAGAGATTTTCGAAGAGATGGAACCGACGCCGTATCGAACGAATCCGATTCGATGGCGGCCTGAGCCGTCGTCGCTATTGTCGTGGCATCGCTGATCGATCTCGTGAGAGACTTCGGCGTCCGGAAAAATAGAACCTCTGGACGGTATGAGCATTATGACTGTCATCACAGAATAGTGAATATTCAAACGTGTCTCTTCAGAATTTTTATGAAAAAGGTTCCCCCATGGAATTCGAGTTGAAAGCCCGAATAGGAAACCCATTTCCAGACATTTACGTCATCGGTTCTTTTTCTTTCTCTCACCAGACATAGGTGTTCGCCGGAATTTCGATCTTGGTGGTGCGCGTCTCAATCGACGGGAGCAGGCGAGAATATCTCCGCCGCTCGAAGCACGCGCTCCCCCGCTCTTCCGTCGTGTCGTTGGCAGCGTAGTGGTTCCTGCCACTCTCTGATTAATAATCTTCACATCGGAAATTTCCGGAGGTATAATTGCAGAAAAAGAAGTCTCTCGGTCTCCAATCGCCGCCCGCAGAGAGTTCATGTGTACGCGCGTCGTCGTCCGAGTCGCTCGGTCAACAGAGATATCTAATCGACGGAAAAGCGTCCGCAGCATTCCATCGAGCCAAGGTCGGACGACGCAGAAAAACACACACTTACGACGGCGGCGTCTTGCTTTATTTCGGAAGTGAGCCCGCACAAAGATTGAAATTTATTATCAGTAAATATATCCCGCTGAAACTTGGAGCTGAATGCAAAAGCCTGATTGATATTGTCGTTGGGACCCAGGGATACAGAAAGTTTGCAATCGTTCGAATCGAAACCGAGTCCCTGCGGAAAATATCAGGTTCCGCATTTCTGGATCAGTCGTCTGTGATCGCGTTCCTCTTCTTAGGACTGATGGGAACGAGGCGTCGCTTCGGCCTCGGCGCCCCAAGTTTCGCGTATGGATTCTGAATGTGAATCCGGAGGCTCGGGGGGACTCGACATTTTTAGAAACTGTGCTTCAACTAATGGGACGAGATATCCAGGACTGAACTCGACCACAATCATCGGAGCTGGGGCAGGAATATCGTGCCGAAAAATACCGTCTGCATCCGCCGTAGGTGGGATACCAGCAGCGGTACCATCAAGAGGAAATTTCAGAGCCTCAAACGCTTGAAGGAATCGAAAGTTGTTTCCTCGTCTCCCGAGTTTTGAAGAAATGAAGATACCACGAATTGCAGAACAAACCGAGCGAGGGAGAGACTTCATCTTGAGGATTCCAGTCAGAGCTATCATCGCTCTGCCACTGAGCAACCGAGCCGACGCGCGACGGGAGACCAGCAGCTCTTGGAACTTCAATTTATTTCAATATCTCAAGTCCGGTAACGATCTCGTGGACCCATTGCCTGACTCGAGGTTGCGGGATCGCGATGCGGCACGTTTCCCAGTAGTCCAATATAGTCGAACCGACATATAATAATCACTCAATATATGCCCAATAGTCGAGCCGACACGCTGATCAATTATAATGTGAATGATGATTAGGATTAAGTTCAGAGAAGGATTTGCATCGGAAAATAGTAAAACTCACCTGGATTGGAGTATAGCTCTTGTTGATAATTGGACCCGCGTTCGGATTTCTCGAGAGAGCTTCTCGAACTCGCGGGCGTCAAATTGGCGCCCACACGTTTGAGTTTCTCGCCAAGGGATAACATCGCGTCACCCTGGTACATCAACCATCACTGAAATGAAAAGATGATCTATGTAATAAGGTCAGCGAAGTCGTTTGGAGCCGACATTCTTTTCCATTCTGTGTATTCTCATTTCCATTCATCTAGACAGGCGGACCGGCCACGAGCCGGACAAGCTGACGGACCGGCGGGCGGGCGTACAGCCGGCAGGCAGCCGCCTGCCCGATTTGCCGGTCATTCTACCGCGATTCTCCGCCGAAAACATGGAACTATGAAAATGCAAATGTTGCCGTTTACCGCGAGTCGCGTGATTGAGCTGCCATGTGATATCATTTCTACAAATGCTCCAGCCGTCAGTCAGTTAACCTAGCTGTTAGGCAGCCGGGCAGGCCGACGGCCACCGACTGCTCGGCAGTCCGTTCGTCCGTCCGTCTGACGTTCAACCTTGCCATTGAGGAAAGATGCCGCCGTCTCGACAAGAGTTAGGATATTCAGTCAACGAGCGGCTCGTTCTGTCACGACGACGACGGACAATCAGCAAGGGCGCTCGGAACCCGATTCTGTGCGGCTACAGAGAGAGGAAAAGCGCGCCAGCAAAATACCCCAAACGTGTCCACGTTTTCTCCTTGTGACGGTTGTTATTGTTGCGGACAGGTTTCTAGAATATCTGAGCAGTATTCTGGAGCAAGCGTATAGCGGGTGGCTGAGCTGTTATTCTTGCCGCCGCAGAATGTGAACCAAGCGTCCGTCCGGAGATACTCGTTTGTCATTTGAGGTATCCAGCTCATGGCGGATCGTGAATCAAGCACGGATCCGGAGAACTTAAATGAACGAATGAAATAATCGAATGATCGGATAATTCGATAAGCGTTCAACTGTTCAAGGGACGACAGCTCTAGAGGATCGGAAGTAGACCACCATAGAGGTCTGTGAGTCAAGGTTTTCTCACGAGAGAAGAATCAACAAACAGAGGAGCGAGCTGAGTTCCCAGGAGGACGAGAGCCGACGGACGGTCATACGGTATCTTCTGCAGCTCTTTGAAATGAGTTCGAGAAGCAGCGTTCTCAGTTCGGGTAAGCCGCGAGGAAAGTCGACTTTATTTCCATAACAATCCGCCATATCGGAAGCGAGCAGGTAACCGGTCCATTGTGGCTGTGTTCGGGAAAGCTTCTCAAGAAGTTCAATTTGACTAACAGATACATTTCTTCGGAGTCTCACGGTCAGACAAATACACATGGTGAACACAAGCCCAAGTATCTTCAGACATACATACATCCCGCCTCTTCCGTTCGGAGCCCGAGCGCGGGAAGAACTGAGCTGTCTTCGGGTGCAGCTTCCGTCTTCGCAATGCCTCAAGTTTGAAATCGGAAATCGTCTTCCGGAAGGCATCGAACCCGGAGACCGTTCACTCAGAGCAGCCAAGTCCATGAACCCATCATCGGGGTAAAATCTGAGATGGAGGAGTGCTGTCAGAGTACCGTATCCGGTATCCGTACGGTAGGTTCCGCGAAGTCCGACCGAAGACAGAAACTTCGAAGTCGGCGATCGACGACAGACTCGCATACGATTCCCCTTCTCGGAGAAAATGGCGGCCAGAGATAGCGGAGCTCATGCGGTGCCGTTGACGAGGTTGCCAAGGATCGCTCGCTGACTCCACGTGAACCACGAAGAGAGCTGGAAGTTCCGGATAAAGATGGACGATACGCACTGAGGCCGCACGCTTTCCTCGACGGAGTCAAGGACCTCAAGGCCATACATAATCGCATCCGTGGAGGAACACTGCTCATGGTCGCTGCGTACTTCTGTTCTGCTTCACACCGAAAACTTTTCCGTCGGTAGCCCTCTTCGATTCCGTCCAGAACAGAACCTTTCGCGAAAATGCATGACCGACGGCGAGTCTTTCACTCGCTTCGAGAAGCCTGCGACTCTCGGCTTGGGTAGTACTACCCCACGTTTCGTTCACTTGGTTACGAAATTATTATAAAATTACTTTCCTGTATACGCTGATGAATGTTTGTAAACATTAGGCTCGCGCTGTAGGAACTAGCTAACAAACATTGGCGAATGATTCACGAGCATGCTCCGAGGGAAAACAAAAGCCCACGTCTGGAATGCTAGCGACTGCGGATATCGATGCTGCTGTGTTGGTTCTCCCCCATGATCCTCAGACATTTGTTTTTTTTCCTATACTTCGGAAAATGAACTTTGACTGTAACGATGTCAAAACACATACGCACGGAACTCGCACACACACTGTGGTGACGACGCCTCGGGTGTCCGTTGACTCCTCCGACGATTGCGCAAAGCCGTAGACGCTGACGAGCCGCCGATGTCAATGATCCATCATCTGTTGCTTCTGCGTCAGATGCAGCGGATATTCATTCGGCAGTAGCCGATGCGGCACCGACGAAAGTCCGTCGGAGATACGGACGAAGATTTCACCTTTCATCAGCTTCAGAAGCAATCGGATTCAAGTGTCACCTTCCAGGCGGCGCACAGTCAGTCGCTTAGTCAGCTAGACTGGACGGTCGAAGCGCCTCGTGAGGGGTTTCGGTGCGAGAACGCCCTTCAGACTTCGGCGATTTCGCAGAATGCAAATTGACGCTCTCGCGGCGTTTACCAAAGTATATGTTTTGGCGAATTTCATGCTGTTAGCGAATCGAATGCCATTTGAACCCGCGAACCTGACGACTTTCTTCATCTCAAACAAAAACAAATCCATGGCTTAAACGCTGGGTCTTCGTCCCGACCATGTGATGAATTTCCTCTCGATCCGACTGAGCCTCGCTTCCGGAATCGAATTAATGAATTTGCTCGCCGTCCACCGGAAGCACCGAGTTACCCTGACCTCGGGGAGCGGGAATGGTACGGCTCGAGCTCGCGGGATCTCTTCCGAATCCGATCGGGCTCGGAACCGCGGGACACCTTCGGAGCCTTCCCCGAAACAGCTCTTGGGACAGGGAGATGGAACAGGATGTTTTCCGCTGAAGCGGGGGAAGCGAGTCGCGGAGATCTCAGAGTCCGGAGGCCCATTTCAGAGATGACGACGACTCTCCGAGCTGGGGGTAGACCATTCCCACGGGTCCGAGAGGGGAAAAGGGAAATATATCTAGGGACTCCTCCTGGGCAGTCTGTCAGCCAACAAGAAGGGGAGCGATGAGCTAAGCTCGAGCCCACGCCTTCGTCTTGCCTCGTCCGGGTATTCTCATCGTTGAGAGAAGAAGAATAAAATTGATTCCTGCCTATTTCCGAATTCATTCTTCGTAAAACTCGCAAGAGCGCGTCTAGAATTCTTGTTCATCATGCATCGGACAATTCAGAATCAACAAGAACGGCTGAACGAACTCCCACGAGCTCGACCCGCTCCACTTTCGGAAAATCCAGATGGATCAAGAATTCCTCCTTGCTCGGACGAGACGACTGATTTAATGGGATCTTCCGCGGAATCTTCGAGTGATGGGCATCGGTCCGACATTCCACATAGGAGAGAAGACAACTAGTTCCTTTTTTTTTCTTCCGAGGGCTCCTCGAACTCGAGCGAGGCTCTGTCGTACTCGGTGTCGGATCGCCGCAGTTGACCACAGAGCGAGATGCCCCGGTTCCGCCGCTTCGTTTGACAAACGAGCAAACACAATTTTTATGGCTCCTTTGATTTCCGTAAAGGAAGAGGAGGAGCGATTCCACGAAATCACACATGGTTCGGTGCGATGCTCCGACGAGTCAGGCATACGGTTCTTCGGAGTGCTTCACGGAGAAGAATCGATGCTTCCCGGGATTGAGAAATCGCAAACGACTCGCGAATTTCTGAAGGTTCCATTTCGTGAAAGTAATCAAGCTTTTTGTTCTTCATCGTTTGTCAACGTTTGTCAGAAAAGCTCCGTTTTGCGGGTCGTACGAGTGACTTTGTACGCTTACGAACAATACCGTGACGCTCGGGAACGCTGATGTCGCGAACCTGTTCGTTTGTGGCGGCTCGCTTTGTTGGCTTCCGCACGTTGGAAACCTCATTACCTAAGCACAGAAATTTCGCAGGGCTCTGCCAAAAGTTTGTGCAGACTGATTCAAGTCCGAGAGGGATCGCAATTCATGGCTTCCGCCATCCCCCGCGTCCAACGAGCCTGCGCGCCGACCAGCATTCATCCTCCGATTCGACATCTATCCATCCATTTGTTCCTCGGCCAGTCGGTCGTTCAAGGAAGCTGCGGAAAACACACGATTCTTTGCACTTCCGAGTGTCTTCAGAGTCTGCAGTGACAGCATAATCACAGAAGAGTCAGATGGACGACGTATCGTTCACACATGGGAAAAGAGCTGTTTGCGCTTCTCTCCTTCGATCTTCCAAACCGTGAACGTCATCGAACTGCGGAGACTTGTCAGACTTTTAGCGCCGATACTTGATTTTTTCCGTGGCACCGCCTCTTTCGGTTCGTTTGGAGATACTGTTCTTCGATAGACTCGTACGGACAGGCGACAAGATCTTCGAGCCGAGACCGGAATGGCAACAACAGAATAGTACGTCTTCGTTCTCCAGCGGGCCACGGTCACCGGAGCCCGATGTGGGGGATGGCTTCATTCTTCGATCGTATTCGTCGTCGTCGCCATTTCGAATGGTTTCGCGTGATCGCTTATGTTTGATCGGGAAGGTGAAGTTTTTCCAAATGCACATGACGATTCACGCCGTCTCATCATGTAGCGCAAAAATATTATTGTTCCTTCCTCCCTTGGTTCGTTCGCTGTCGGACGCGGCCACACACAGACTTGTCGTTCAAGACCTCGGAAAAACATAAGGGGTCACTGACAGGTTGATCGAGATGAGCTTTTGTGAACCCACCTCCATGAGCGTCTGACCGCAGAATATTCAAACTGTCTGACAATACTTTGTTGCCACTCATTCCAGAAATGGTGTATTTGCTGTCTCCGCCGACAACGAACGCCTTCATTCCGCTCAAACGTTCCGCAGAGTCGTTTGATGAGGCCGGGCGATAACACAACTCGACCAAAAACCGTATGAGCTCAAGGTGCCAGAATCTCCGAACACGGAGAGGGAGCTC